TTTTCATTTCCAATTTTCTTTCCTGCATATGTAAGGAAGAGTTTCAACTTAGCATCTCATGACTGCAACCCACATCCAGCAGAGGTTTCCTCTTTGTTGATACCTAATTATTTAATTAATTGCCAATATTAATGAAATGAAACTGTTTAAAACAAACAGCCAGACTAGCTGTTTTGCAGCAAGCTTGGTTCATCAATTCACCCATGCAGATTTCTTCCTAAATATGCAGTAGACGGACTGTTGCGCTTAGAAAGCATATTTTATCCCAATCAGTGGGTAAAAGTAGAATTATCCATAACTGAGCCATGTTTCTCTGCTGTACAGTTTAGCTGTAATGATCCTCACACACTGCACTCACACATCAATTATCATAATCATAATCACGGTCATTAAGCTGAATGTTCATTATTATCAGGATGCTGGTGACAGCAGATTCAATCACAGGCAATGGACAGGCAGTCATCGTCCCACCCAAGTTTCTGCAGACAGCGTTGTGCCACATTAAGAATGGACAGCCTTCCACATCCCACTCCATTTCAGAAGCTGCAGACGGTAAAGGTCAACTTTATGTTCTGTGCAATATGCTTAGGTTCTCTAAATTAATTCTTTGGAGCACTGGCTATTTTTATGCTTTGTAGATAATAAGATTCTATTTAGGGCCAAATAAGGATAGGCAAGGAAGGAAAGAGGGCTGCAGCTGCGTTGTTAAGTTGCCTATGACAAGGCATTAAACACAAAACTCTATCCACAAATGGATGTTAAAATGTCACTTCTTCATTTTTGAAAACAAGGAAATCATTTTTATAGAATTGCTGCCATTAAAAGTCAGTTGTCTCAAATGCACATGCAGACTAATTCCACTTCTGATTAAAGGCTGTAGGCTATCATTTCTGCTTCAGTGAATATGGAAGTGTATAAGTGTTTTGACAACCGAAAGATTAGTTAGTATATCTGATCCCCTGACTGTCCAGTTTCATGGGACCTATCATTGTCAATTAAATTTATGGTGTCTGGTAAATTCTTAAGTCTGAAACTTCACACTCCTGGTAATTGCAATGCCAGTCATCTGGGGGCTTTGGCCCAGGGAAAATATTTTGATCAAGTAAGATATCTGAACAGAGCACATTATTTAACTTCAAATGTTTCAGACATATTGGCAGAATCCAGATGGTAAATACAGCATAAACCAGAAATCATGTAAAAGATCTGCACAATCTTGCTGGCTGTCCACTGTGTGCTTCTACATGTCTGGCTACACATTTGCTTGTGTCCCTCAGTATGTGATAGCAAGCCAGCAAACTGAAAAAAACAAACATGCTCATGTAATTGCCCTTAATATGTGTGCAGCACTTGATAAAAGGGAAACACTTAGCTAAGCATGGTCATCACAAGCCACACTTCATTGTCCCTTTCTGGTTGCCTTGCACACCTCTTGCTTTTTTTGGGGGGGGGGGAGTTTATCAGAGGCTAGCACAACTCTCCTTTTAGAAAAACCTTCAATACACCCTAGATGCCATTGCTCATTGTTTGCCATATTCTTGCACTCCTGATCTTCTTAATGTTGCCCAGCTTCTGAAGTTATCGACTCTTCACCTTGCTCAACCATTTATTTTTCAGAAATGACTCACAAACCACTTGCTGAGCTAGGAAGGACACATCCTTAGCAAAATTCATCCTGGGCTAAAGGTCACTTTGAGCCAAAGAACCCTGGGTCTTTGCCAAAAGTCTTTTTTGGCCCATCCTCCTAGTGTACCCATTTAAACATCCTGGTACCTGCGAAGTGAGGGAACTTTGAAAAGCCTTCCCCTCTTTGCAGCAGTAAGTGACATCCTTTTTAAGGAAGAATATAAGGAGCTTTTATTTAGGAGGATCTGGGAAAAGGTAACTTTCAACATCTTGGTCCACTCTTTGGAAGTCCTTGTCTTATAGACTGCAGCCTCTCCCTCCATGTCCTTGCTGTGTACTTGACAGCTGAATGACTCTCAACAACTAATATTTTAGCTCATCATCATGCTGACAATTTTTTATTGCTCCTTTATAGCCCCCATTCTCCCCCCATCACCAAACTTGTATATAAATACAACACCTTAGGTAACATAATATTAGTTGTTCTGGGTTTTTCAGGCTCTTTGGCTGTGTTCTGAAGGTTGTTCTTCCTGACGTTTCGCCAGTCTCTGTGGCCGGTCCAACCACACACTTCATAGTAACTGAATTAGTTACTGTGCTGTCCTCTGAAGATGCCGGCCACAGAGACTGGCGAAACGTTAGGAAGAACAACCTTCAGAACACAGCCAAAGAACCCGAAAAATCCAGAACAACCATTAGATCCTGGCTGTGAAAGCCTTCGTGAATATATTAATATAATATTCATTCATTCATACATACATACATTCATTCATTCAGATATGTATACCCTGCTACCTTTTCTCCTCAAGAGGACCCAAGGCTGCTTACAATATTAAAATGAAAATTATAAAAACTAGAACTGGAGGGGGGAAACAGCAGCCCCCCTCTTAGACAGCCAGTCACTGAAACAAGACCTGTCTGAAAAGAAAGGTCTTTGCCTTCTTGTGGAATGACAACAAAGAAGGACAGCCTGGCCTCCTGTGGGAGGGAGTTCCACAGCTTGGGAGCAGTGACAGAGAAGGCTGTCCCTTGTGTCCTCACCAAATGCATCTGTGAAACTGTTGGGGTAGAGAGAAAGGACCACTCTGTTGATGTTAAAACCTGGGTAATCTCATATAAGGACATGCAGTCTTTCAAGTGGCTCAGGCCAATGTCATTTAGGGCTTTCAAAGTCAAAACCAGCACTTTGAATTGTGTCCAGAAATTGTCTGGCAGCCCAGTCAACTATTACTATGTGATCCCTGTATCCAGCTCCCATTAACAACATGGCATCAGCCTTTTCAACCCACTGAAGTTCTAAACACTTCCCAAGGCAGCCGCACATACAGTGCATTTGGAGATGGACACAAACTGCTGAACTGTCAGTTCGTGCTGATTAGTTTTGGGGCTAAACACGTGTTTGGCACTTCCCAGCCCCTCCTCCTCCAGCGGGCACACACTTAGAGGCAGGACTCAGAGGAGCCGGGGCAGAGGAGCCAGGGCACTGCTTCTGAGTGGCCACCCACTGGACGAGGTGGGGCTGAGAAGTGCCAAACATGTTTGACCAAAAAAGGAAACTGGCACAAACCACCAAATCAATTACACTAATCCAAACAGGATGCAGTTGAGGAAATGGTCTGTAGTTCATCAAATCATCTGTCAAACACTATTGTTTCTCATAAGACTTACAATCAATCTACTATTTACAGATCCTTACAAATTAGGCCAGGAAAGATGCAAACCACTATACATTTAGGTTGTTAGAGCCCACTGATGTCAATGGAGCTTACACTGCTTTAACTAGACTTGCAACCCAAGTGAATACGTTTCTTTTTGCTGCAACACATTTTGCTTCGACACATTCAGCTTACAGCTGAATGTGTCGAAAGAGGTCAATACATGTGAAGCAATGATTTAAATGTTATTTTTTGATGCTACAAACACGGTTAGTGTACCCAGCATGCTGTAATCCTCATCTCAAGATGCTACTGTCAAAAGCCAAGTGTATGGGTGTAGGGAGGAAACACAAAAAACAAAAAAAACCTGTAGTCAGTTTTAACTCAAGTCCATAGGGAGAATACGTAAAATCAGAATCTTTTGCTTCTCCAAGCTGACAAGAATTCACAAAAGCAGCCAAGAAGCAATTGTTCAATTGTTTTCCTTCCATTTCATGCTTTGTGACTGATGATCTATATGAGTGCAGTTTTTAAACTTTTGACATCCTACCCTGTATTGAATTCCTTCCACTGAACTGCTGTTTGCACCATGTTAAAAGTTCTGAGAAACAGCCAAGTCTTTAGTAAAGAAATTCTGAAAAGGGGTTTTCCCAGCCAGACAACGGTGAAAATGTCTGAACACAACAATACATATTCACTTGTGTTTGAATTCAGTTGCACACACAAAAAGAAAGCAACAGTCTAGTAATTCCATTCTGTCACTCATATCAAAACACCACAGCCAGACTTGCTTCTCTCTACATGTCTCACTGGAGCATCAAAACAGGGTAGAAAAAATCCCTGCAAGAAATAGGGATAGAAAACATTCCTGGCTCCATAAGAGGAGTTGTGATCAGCCATTCATAGGGTGGACTGCATTTTGATGACATCAGAGAGGGGCTCTTTATCTTTAGCACAAGTTTCTTGGGTCCCCCCCTTCCTTTCAGTTCTCTTTTATCAGGACATCCTATTATTTTATGAAAATATGGATGCCCCACTTTTCTTTTCATGAGGACTCAAGGCAACTTACAACATTAAAATGAAAAAAATATATAAAAACTGGAAGGGGAAGGTGATCCAGGAACCCAGGAGCCTGTCTTAAGCAGCCAAGTTATTGAGAAAAAGCCTCCCTGAAGAGAAAAGTCTTTGTCTGCTTTAGGAAGGAGAGCAAAAAAGGAGGCCAGCCTGCCCTCCTGTAGGAGGAAGTTCCACAGCTTAAAGCTCCAACACTTCAGGCATGTTGCTAGGACATCCTGGAGGCACTTATGACACTCAAAAGTGATCTGAATCTAGACCAGACACAACTAGAACAGACCCATTTGCATCAATGAACTAGCAGAGGAGTTGAATCAAATGGGCCTACTCTAGTGCAACTTATTATGCTAAGTAACAGGATTTCAGCCACTGTTTATGCATCTTTAATTTTACTAGCTTATTTTAAAAAGTGTCTGGTATTCTCCAAACCTAGGCATTCTATATGACACATTGAAGGAGTTGTAGTTTACATTTTACTCTCATGAAATGCTAGCTAAAAAGCACTCTATAGTTACCCAATAATTCAGTGAGCTTTAATGTCATTTTGATATGTAATGATTCGGTGGAGTGGATCTGATTGATTTTGATATTTTAAAAAACTCAACAAAGCTGAAACTTTGCTCTAGTCTTCACAATACAAATTACCTTGTTTGTAATCCATTTTTCTGGGTATTCTTCCCGGAAATGCTTGAGTCCATAACTTGTTTGACCATACTTGCTTGTTCTCTGGATTGATGGGACATACTTGTCAGGTTCGTGGCCAGAAAATGGCAAAAATCTGAAAGGTGAAATACATGTTTCCTTATTTTTACTCTATACTGATAGATACATTGGTCATCAGGCAGAAGAGGCACTATCTAGACTACTATAACATGCTACATATGCATTAATCTTTGTAAGATGTTCAGAAACTGTGGCTAGCTCAAAATCCTACTGCTAGATCTGACAGGAGCTGGTTCTTGTAAGGTGTGACTCTTTTACTGCTTCAGTTGCACTGCCTACAGATCCTTTTTTTTAAAAAGAAAGCCCCACCCAGCTGAAAGAATTTGGAGCCAGGACGCCTAAGAGAGCATCACCTTCCATGCATTTATTTTTTATTTCTTTAAACATTTATAGCCCACTCTGAAAAGGGTCACTATAAGGCAGAATTGACTTGACAGGACATTATTATTAGCTGGTTGGCTAGCTCAGTGGTTTAGGTATCTAGCTATGGAGCCAGAGGTTGGCAGTTTGATACCCCACTGGGCCTCTTGTGAGTAGAGACAACCTGTGTGGCCTTGAGCAAGTTGCACAGGCCTATCATTCCCCTAGAAGAAAGGAATGATAAGCCACTTCTGAATATTTTCTATCTGAAAAGGGTTACCGTAAGTCAGAATTCACTTGACGTAAGTCAGAAGCACATGATGATGATTATTTATATCACAGGATCTCAGTTTCAAAGTGGTTCAAAATGATTTTAAAACATAAGGTATTTAAAACAATTTAAAATCAAATACAAAATCAAAACACTCAAACATTAAAAATATTTCTCTACAACCTGCACAGATCATGATCCTCCATCCCCAAAGGCTCTAATACATAAAGACGTTTTGACCTGGCATGGAAATGATGCTAACGTTGGTGCCAATAAAGCCTCCAAGGGGAAGGCATTTCACAGTTGGGGTGCTATGGCAGAAAAAGCCATCCCCCATGTCTCTAGATAATGAACGGTCCTCAATGGTGGGGCCCAGAGAAGGACCTCCTCAGCAGATCTTTGTGATCAGGCAGGTTTATACAAGGAGAGGAGCTCTTTCAAATAGTCAGCTCTACATAGAGTGCATTGCAGCAGTCTAACCAGGGGGTTACCAGGGCATGGACTACTATGGCAAGGTTATTCCTGTCCAGGAATGATCATAGCTGATGGACCAGTTGAAACTAACCCCAGGCACTCGTGTGAACTTCCAATCACAAAGATAATTCTAGGAGTACCCCCAAACTATGCACCTGTTCTTTCCCTCTGCATGGCTTGATCCAGAATCAGTCTCCTGCCCAACTTCCAGACCTGGGAACCAATGAACCACAGAACCACCATCTTGTATTCAGTTTATTGGCCCCCATTCAGACCCCCAGACCTGGGAACCAATGAACCACGGAACCACCATCTTGTCAGTATTCAGTTTATTGGCCCCCATTCAGACCATTATAGCCACCAGATATTTGTCCAACACATGCATAGCCTCAGCCAACCCCAATGATAAGTACATTTGAATGTCATCAGCATATTGGTGGCAGCCAATCCCCAAACTAGTGATCTACCCCAGTGACTTCATATAGATATTAAACACCATGGATGATAGAATGGAACCATTAATTAATAACGTGGAGAAAAAAGGAGATGCTTTGGTGCTTTCAGGGGTTTTGAAAAAAATCTTTCAAGTTTTGCCTCTCAGCAGAAAAAGCCCCCTCTACTCAATTTATTAATGCCCGAGTGAAGATTCCTCTCATACCTCATCTCCAGGCACTGGTGAGAATGAACCCATATTGTATCAAACAAACCCCAACTAGACATTGCTGAAAATCAATTTAAGCAATCTTTCTGTGTCATACTGCTCAAATAGTTGAGAAGTTTCTCCTGATACTCTAGCTTCCTTTCATCTCCACTTTCTTTCAATCTTTCCTCACAGGGCTTGGTTTCCAATCCTCTGATCATCCTTGTTACTCTCCGCTGAACTTCCAGTTTGTCTGCATCCTTCTTAAAGTGTGGTGTACAGAACTGGACTCAGTACTCAAGATGAGGTCTAACCAGTGCTGAATAAAGGAGGACTAGTATTTCATGGAATTTGGAGACCATACTTCCGTCAATGCAGCCTAAAATAGCATTTGCCGTTTTTGCAGATGTATCGCACTGCTGTCCCATATTCAGTTTGTGACGTACAACAATTTCCATATCCTTCTCAAATGTAGTATCACTAAGACTACTGGAATAGTGGAGCAGATACATAAGGGCCATGTCCTGTAAATATCACATTAAATTTTAGTCACTGCAATTTGAGATACCTGTATCAGCAAAGGTAAAAACATGGTTGTCCTTGAAAGATACTGAATGATAACATACTGTCAGGTAATACAGAAAAATAAGAATGCTATTTTCCCAGGCACAGAAACGTGTGTTTTTTTAATGTGGAGGACAGAAAGAGAGGAAGCCACTCTTATTTTATAATAACAATGGTAGGTTTTTTATTCTGTGTACAACTTTTCTGGTGGCAGAGAGAAAAATTATCTCGTTTTAACTAACTTCTACGGAAAGAAAATCATATTTTATCAAAAGTAAATTATGTCAGCCAACCTTCCTTGCAGAGAAACAAATTGGTCTTTATTAACATCTGGCCAGTCAAATTGCCCATACAGAATTCTAAACCAAAGGCTCCTGAAAATTAGCAAAACAAAAGCACAGAAGTAGCAGAGCTTTAAATTATACAAAGCTACGGAAGCATGTATATACTCCTGGGACAAGTGGCTCTCATATAAGACAGATTATAGCACTTCCAGGGCTAATTTGCACATGGGATGGACATCACACACACAAAAATTAATGTGGCCCCAATGTCCCTGAGTATACATAGGAGGTGCTGAAAGCCGGCTGCTCCACTTACAGTTTTTATCACTTCCGAATTGCATTTTAATAGTACATTTTTCTTTTGTTCAGAAATGAAGGAAAATTGGCACTCTCTGGGGATTGGACGATGACTGAAATGACAAGGCTAGTAGCTCAGGAATTTGCCCATGAAAGCATGGAATTCAGGGTAGCCTTAGCATTCAAAAATAAGGTGGGTTTTTTTTTAAAAAAAAACCCCACAGATTTCTACAAATTCATTGTAGAATTTTTAGAAAAATTCAAAGACAATACTCCTGTTTTATAACATAATTATTAATATATGCATATGAGCAAACAGATACACATAAAGATTCCTTTATTTATGGCATTACTTTACTTAGCATTATATAAATTCAGTTTAAGCTTATATTCTACATTATGATTATATATATATATATATAAATGAGAAGTAGATCAAAATGAGAATATACACTGGAAATATTTACAGGCAGGAAAGAAAGGATTTCATGGCACAATTGTACCTTGTGATTCAGATTGAAACAGTAGGTCAAAATCCAACAGTGCATTTCTGTCCTGTTGGATCCATAGCTTCTGACAATAGAGGAAGAACTTTCTCTTCATCACACCCTGCAATGGGGGCTAAAAAAAACTTCTCTAGAGCGTTTCCAAGCTCATAGAAGTGGGTTTGAAGCAAGGGGGAGGGAAAGTCCCAATTATCTCAGGGAAGCACTATCTCCAGCTGAAGTATCCTGTTGGACCATGGCCACTTGTAGTGAGAAAACTTCTATTTTGGCTGATGCCCTAGAATCTAAATACTGGACTGCTAGAGCAAAATGTCTTGTTTGTAATCAAACTTCATATGTAACGTGGCCGTTGTGGGCTTTAGATCATGAAAAAGAATTCAGACCTGTTGGTGTATGATGTAGGACTAAACTTGAATTTTCAAAGTGGATCATAGCCAGTCTTTGTTGTTCTGGAAGCAAAACTGTTTGTATTTCCAGAGCAAGACAAAATGTAGGCAGCTGGGGTGTTATTGAAAATGATGCATAGTCTTGTCACATAATAAAGTGTGTGTGCTTTCTGAAAGTATATACTGAAGGGCAAAACTTATTCAAAAGAAAGAAGCCAAAAAGAAAGGGAGGACGAATAGCATTTTTAAGGCATCTAGAAAATATGGCATTAGCTGCATAAGAAGTTTTATGGCTGGCTCAGATTTTTTAAAAGGCTATGCATAGGAAAGGAGGGGTAAAATGTTAAAAGACAAGTGCAAAAGAGTAGCCACAGTTTTTTAGGGAGAGTGTAAGGTGGGCTAATTGATGGAGTAAATTTTGGAGACTACTAAAAAAAGTTTTTAAAAAACATGTTTGGAGCAAGAAGAAGGAAGCAGGATGTCTGTCACATGAAGAGGTGGCAGAAAACAACAGAAAATGGAAAGAGAAATAATACAAAACGGAAAGAATCTGGAACTGCTTAACATCAGCAGTTCTTTCCTATATAGAAAATAGCTTGATGAGACAAAAGTAGAAAAAAGATGACAGGAAACAGTTGCAGGAAATTCCAAGACAGATAGCCACTCAACAAAATCAAGTGTTCAATATCTGACAAATTGTATTACAAGGCACTAAGGGAATCTGCGGTCCGAAAATGGTCTGAAGCTCAACATAAAAAAACAAAAACAAACTAAGATCATGGCCACTGGTCCCATCACCTCCTGGCAAATAAAAGGGGAAGATACGGAGGCAGCGACAGATTTTACTTTCTTGGGCTCCAGGATCACTGCAGATGTAGACAACAGCCACAAAATTAAAAGACGGCTGTTTCTTGGGAGGAAAGTGATGACAAACCTCAACAGCATCTTAAAAAGCAGAGACATCACCTTGCCAACAAAAGTCTTCATAGTCAAAGCTATGGTTTTTCCTGTTATGATGTATGGAAGTGAGAGCTGGACCATAAAGAAGGCTGACCACCGAAGAATTGATGCTTTTGAACTGTGGTGCTGGAGGAGGCTCTTGAGAGTCGCCTGGACTGCAAGGAGAACAAACCTATCCATTCTAAAGGAAATCAACCCTGAGTGCTCACTGGAAGGACAGATCCTGAAGCTGAGGCTCCAATACTTTGGCTATCTCATGAGAAGAGTTAGGAAACTGTGAAGGAAAGAGGAGAAGGGGACAACAGAGGATGAG